TCATCCTTAGGCTTCTGTAGACTTACTAAAAGCTACAGACTGAAGGGTTGCTGCATTAGCAAGAGATCGTCTAATTCAAACAAGAATTCTGGTGGCAAGACCTGAAAATCTGTCTTAGGTGGTAGATCAGGCTAGGTAGTCTTCTTGTCCTTGATCCCGCAGATATCACTGATTCAGCTCTCTAATAGTTCTGCGGCTACAGCTTTGACTATTATACTCCATGTGCCTGTCATTTGTGTAACTGTGAAGTCTATGTGTACATAAAGTTTGTACCCTGTAAATACATGCTGAGATCCAGGGTATTCAATCTTTGTTTTGATGTACTTCTTTTTGTCTTTTTCTTTCTTTCTTTCTTCTCTGCTATGTCATCTCATAAGCTGTTTGCCAAATAAAGGCAGTTGGCTTGCTTTTTGTCAGGTGAACTACTACTGCTTTTTCTTGTGTGCCTCTGAAAGTGGATTTAGATACAAGAATCCAATCTCCCTCAAACCCAGACTGAGGATCCTTTTCACCATCATTCTACATGCAGAGCACTGCCTTTTCTTCCCCCTACTTCCATTAAAATGAAATATTGTGTATCTTCTAGAGGGCCTGTGAAACAGAAACAAAATAGGACATAACCTTGCTGAGTTGGCAGCCTGCAATTTTTTGATTAGACATAAACAGGATAATTAGTATATTGCCTTGCCTAGCCTGAAAGTAATCCCTAGTTAGTGTAGGTGCAGGTGTGCCCAGCATGAAAGGTAAATGCTCAGCTTTACTCATGTTGTAATAGTGCCTCCTAATTCACAAGCATTGTTTATTAAGAAACTGATACACTGGTCATCTTCACCTTATTAATTGCAAAATTAGCATGTTCTAGAATGTCTATTAAAAATTCAGGTTGCAACTTTTTTCTCCGTTAGTGTTGTGATTTGTGGTTAGATGCACAAACGGAGCTTTGTGTTGCAGTGCTTAACTGCACGGTATTCTAGTGCTATAGTAGGAGCACTGCCATCTTCTGCCATGTCATGGGACAGGAGCTAACAAGATAAGCATGCATCTATCTGCATTGCCTATTAAGAAATGCCTTGGAAGAGGGAGTGGGGGTGAATATGCCTTAAATACTAATTCTGTATAGAAATGTGTCTAATTAGGATTCTCAAGTATAAGGCCCTTCCTGAATTTAGGAGCATAAAGCCAACTTGATCCTTCCTTCATACTAGTAGGTGATTCTGTGATGAAACTGTACTCGTGAGAGATGTGTTCTAAAATCCCACTGTGTGGTTAAGAATATAACCTGAATGTCTCGCATAGCACCAGTCCGCTATGGTGTTCTAACAGTGGGTGTTTCTCATGCAAATGCCTGTTCAGACTTGGTATTTTCTCTGGCACAGTGAGCAGGAGAATGTTTTTGGGAAACTGTGTAAACGGGAAGGGGTCAGGTAAGCAGTTTGAAATTCCATTATAATAAACATCTAGTTTTTTATTAGAAGAGGGGCTTTTTGAACAGACCAGGGAACTCAGAATACTTGACAGCTTTTAAAGTGTATGCCTGTGCAAGGGAAGAAGTGGACTATTTCCACAGGAAGTGGGAGAAGTGGTTTCAAGTTCCCATCTTGAAATGAGGCAGAGAAGCATTTTTAACTTGGTGCTCCCACACTGATCACTGGGCTATTTGGTAAATGCCACAGCCTTTCCTTCCCCCTTGGTTTCCGTGCTAGTTCCAATTCACAAGGCAAGCTAGAATAACACCTACCAGCTTAGTGTCTAAACTTGATTTGAGTACAAGGGTAGTCAGAAATTATGAAAGCTGCTGAAAGTCTTGGTTAACAAGCTGATTAAGGTTGGAAGATGGTAGTCCCAGAACGTCATGGAAAATATTCTGTGCAGGTAACAAGCAAATGAAATGCAATATGCAATAGGAGACTTTGAACTACTTTTATTGTCATAATCTGTAGAAAGCCACAACTAAATGTTAGGCAGCATTTAAGTCCGGCCTCCAAATGGATATGAAGTTCTTCCCTCTTGTTGTCCCTCTAGAGGACCTAGTGTGAATGAATGGGAACACCTAGATAAAAGCTAGCTAGAGGTAGGCAAATGGCCTGAGAGATTAAGATGCACATGATCATGTGTGATAGGGAAGGTCCCTGAAGAAACAGCATGGAAGATTTGAACCCAGAATAGAAGAAAGTGAGCACAAGGGTGACTGACATAAGGGTAGACCAAGACCTCTGCTTCACCTATGGTGCTCTGCTTAGTGATCCGTTAATCTTGCTTGTGGGCTCTTTTGTTATTAATACTTTGAATGAGACCATTTCTCCATGGATTGAGTAAGTCTACAGCTACTAGTAGTTCAGGGTGCAGCATAATGTTCAGTCCATGCATGAACTCATGATTGTAAACTATAACGTAGTTTGTAATGGAGGTTAGGAAATATAAACTGATCTTGCCAGGGCTTGCCAGGGGTGTGTGTGTGTGTGTGTACTTGTGCATGTATGACACACACACAAGCAGGGAATGGTTGATGAGAAGTGGAAAAAAAAACCAAACGTTAAAAATGGTTTACAAAATAATCAGGGCATTCTGTTATCTCCTGATTCCTGGAAATGCTGTGTTTCTGTCATTAAAAAAAAAAAAAAAAAAAGAAGAAAAGAAAGTCTTGAGCCCCTCTTTTGATTCGGGGTAGGGCAGCAAAGGGTCTTCCCTATTTTCAGAAATGCACGGTGCTGCATTTTCTGACCTTGGAGGCACTTTTGATTTTTGGTTTATTACTGTTCAGTAATCTTTATTTTCCAATGTGAGGGCTCTTACGTGCTGAGAAGACATTTTGCCAGTGCTTTATGCAGATTTAATATTCTGGGTGCTGGGTTTCCTGTTCATTTCCTTTCAGACCCAGCGTAACTCCCAAAAAGGAGTATCCGACAGACTCTGACAGGCAGAGGAAGAATCTCTGCAATCAGGAGTCTAGAAAAATGTCAGCCAGATGAAGCATCAAGGAGAGAAACCATAAAAGTCTCCCACCTGGCTCCTGTCTTCCCAGTTGTGTTCAAAACAGCTATATCATGTCCAGTGTTGATGCTAAATGACCTATTTATTTTAAATTTGTGTAAGGTACACACCTAAGTCAGCTCCAGTCTGTGGAGTTTCTGTTGCACAGACTGAACTTAAGAACACATAGGACCAGGTAAAAGAGGATGAGCTGTTCTGTTTGTGAAATGAAGCAACATTCCCCCCCCCAGCTAAACCCTCAAACCATCAACTGTTCAGAACTATAGACCGGAAAGTGACAATACAGAGTATCCACTCAGAATACATTACTACATACTGTAAGATGGTCCACTTGCTAGACATTGTGTTGGCATTTTGCTTGTTTTATTTACTTACAAAACTGACAGCTCAACCACAAGATAATTTCTTGCTCCTGGCTAGTACAGTGCTGCAGTAGGCTGTTAGAGAAATGTTAGGTTATATACCAGCCTAGGCTAAATACACACACACACAAAAAATTAAGACCAGTTATGAATAAAACCTGCCTCCATGGAGGCAAACTTACTGGCTTAAAACAAGCATACTTAGTCTCGCAAGCAGGGCATGCTCATGCTCATATGGCAAAGCTCTTGATGGTCTGGCCATGTGAAGCAGAGGTTTGCCTTGCTGGAAGCAGGGCCTTGGATAGTGCAGTGCACCAGCTGGGACCCACCTATCAGAGTCTGACACCCTCTCAGTTGCAAGCCGTTTCACGTGGGCAGGAACGGTGGGTGCTCAGGTCCCAGGCCAGACCTGTAACTGTGTCAGCATGTCTCCCCCTGCCCCTTTCCTTGCCTCACCCTTTTCTCCACTTTCCTTGGAGGAACAGTAGTTGTGGTTAAAGGCTCTAGTGCGATACAAGACTTGTTCATAACATGCCAGCTTTGCCAGATGGGGCATGGCTATGCTGCAAGTTTTACGAGGTTCACAATGCATCACTGCTTTGTTCCCTTCAGTAGGCTACATATGATAGGAAAATCAAGCATTAACAGGCCTGCGGCTTTTAATGCGCTAAGAAGGTGCTAGCAGCTCTGCAGCTGCAGGAAATGGCAGCATTCTGGAGCAGGGTCACTAAGCGTGCAGTGAAGTAAACTGCAGTCAGAAACCAGGCCAGAGGGAGATAAATTTTCAAAGCTGAGCTAAGCTTTATTTACTTATTCTAGCTTAAGCATGGGATGGCTTGACTTCAATTCTTCAGTCTATTAAACAGCTGCATACCATTGCTGGTTTTTTGGTTGGTTTGGTTTTTTTTTTTTTTTTTGGCTGCTGACATTCTTTACAACATACTGAACACTGGAAGGCTACACTGACCAAGTGCCTAGGAGACATGCAAAGCCCATGGGGAAAAAAAAAATGGTAAAAGCCAGGTGGGGGGTCTTGGGGGGTCTTGCATGTGTAGACCTGCATCTGGTTTTGACACTTCTCAAAATTTTTGATGCACTTCTCAGAATTTATCAGGTGGGAAGGAGAAAAAAAAAAAAAAATCATATTTTTTGATGTCATATAGTGTCATTTCATATAAAGAATGACACTTTGAGCAGGGAAAGGTTCACGGACTTGGTTCTACCTTAGCACATACTTTGAGACAACCCTCTCTAGTAAAATAGATTTCATTTTACCCCAACCTTTGGCTCAAGGGAGCCCGTTAAACTTTATCATACTGTACACAATGCGGTTATAGCAACATCTTACAGTTTTACATTGACATTTTTAAAGTACTGCTAGAATAATTTCTGCATTGAAAACATGGCCTGCTATCTCAGATAAATGTAACACATTTTCTATTATTAGTGAAGAAATCATTGACATTGCTGTTTTTACCACACCAGAAGTCTGTTCTAATACAAGAAATTTATTCCTCAATATTAAAAACAGGACATGAAGGGTTAATGAACATACAAGAGGCATATTGTGATGGCAGCTTATGTAGGTTGCCCCCACCCAAAAATGCAGCATTTTCAGTCTTTAAAACACAGCATGAGAAATTTAATTGCATCCTTTTTATTTCAAATGCAGGATAATTCCCTGAGTAAGCAGCTTTTTACTTTAAATAGAACTTTTCCAGAACTTAAAATAAACCTGTGGAACAAGTTCACACAGTTGTTCGTGAGCTGGAGATGGCATGTTCTTTGGCCCAGGGAAGCAAAGGCCTGGCAGGAGCTCTTTAACTATTCACTTCCAAAGCTTCACACTGCACGCACTGTCACCAGCCTCCTTCAGTACAGCAGTCTCCCCCACATCTACATCTTTCCGACTGATCTCTGGGTTTTGAATTACTCTTTGACTACTCTGCCATGAAAGGGATTTTTCATATTTGGTCTTAAAAAGTAATCCATGACCTGAAGAAGCAACGATGGGAGGGGAAAAAAAAAAAAAACAAAAACACAACAAACAAAACCAAACAACAAACAAAACAAAACAACCTGAAATGAGATCACCGCACTGGTAAACAGACCAGCTCATTCCTTATAATAAAGAATGGGGCCTCACAGTCTGGAAACTATGCATCCCAAGGCTTTGGAAGCAGAAGAAATACTGTACATAGAAAAAAAAGAGCAGGCTTTGACGATTGTACCATAAAATTTTAGATAGCGATGTATGTAGATTTTAGCAGCCCCCCCCCACCCCCCCCCTCCCCAAAGATTAAAGAAATGAATCTACATGGGAGATGAGACATTTGTTCAATGACTTGTAAAGCCAGCTGCACTTACCTGGACAGTCTGCTGTCTCTTTGAATGCTCTTTTCTTACAGCATCCTCGGCACATGTTAAACACACATTTATTGCCCTGGGTTGGGATGGGGGTATAAAGAAGCTTGTATCAGTGAAAATATAATTATTATTGTTCACTGTAATAAGCAATAACAATACAGCTTTGCACATTCAGACCTTTGGGGAAAAAACATGAACTCATATTATTAGGCATCACACCTCAGTCTAAGGAAGATGACAGAGTTGATGTCATATGGGGCAGGAGCGGGGGGGAGCCCCAGCCATCAACTGTTAGAGAACAAAAAAAAAAAACAAACCCAAACCAATCAATGAAAAAAAATTCCACATTCAACTTCTGCAACATCTGTTGGGCAGCTTGCATTACACAACACAAGCAGGCAAGTGCCATAAGCACTTTGGAACAAGCATTATGACATTTGTTGCGGGGAGCTTGCTGTAGTTCTCTGTGAAAGCAGTATGTGAAACATGGTGCCTGACATGCTTGCTACCATCTGTAGCTATGCCTAAAATAAATATTACCACAGCAATTACTTCCCTACTTGGAGCTACTTGAGTATATATTAAAATATAATGTATAACACTTAGGGGACAGCAGCAGTTGAGTCTTGGGATAGCTGACAACTTGGCTATACTAGGCTGGGTGTCTGGTGCTTTGGCTCACACATGCTTAGTGAACTTTTAGGAAAGTCGGGTTTTGTTGTTTGGGGTGTCTCCCTCCACCCCAATTAAAAATTCCTTCATGTTTAAGGAGTCCTTGGTTGCATTTTTTTTGTTGTTGTTGTTTTCCTCCCCATTCCATGACATAGCTTAGAAACATATGATCTAGGAAAAAACCCCACAACACCCCAAACCGAAAAACCTCAGGCCCAGTCACAAGATTTCCAGGGCTGCCTGCAACATAATGATGTAAGAGCAAAATAAAAATGAGCCTATGCCCAGCTTCAGACAATAATGGCTGACACACTAACCTGTGTCACCTGGATTAGCTACGAAACAGGAAGGCTTTGAAAGCAGGCCAGATGAATGCTCAATGTTTTCCCAATAATGAACACAGCAAGAAAAACATTTTCTTCTGTAGCTTCAGCTCTGAATTGAGCCCCAGGGGGCTGCTATTTGGAAGGTGCTATAACGTTACAAGAGCGAGCAACACGACATGCCCGGGTCCCTGTCTCCCCACCCCCCACAGCTGTAATGCTACTTTTTCAGCGAGAACACAAAATTATTCCTTGCATCTTACACCCTGCTTGACTCTCTGTGTGCACAGGTATATATAAGCAGCAAAGGAATACACTCTGCTCAGTCAGCTTAGCAACATCTCCCTGTCAAGGAAACTGCTATGGTCCCCAAGGCAAAAACAAACAAACGAAAAACCCCAATGAGGGCTTCTCAAATACCAAATAGTTGAAGTTTCATATGTAAAGCTTCAAAGCTATATGCTGTACACAACCTGGAAAACAGCTGGCTTGTTTACCATTGCTAATAGTGAAAGCTGATGTTAATCTGCTAGCAACACCAGAGCTCAGAATGACTAGGTGCTCACTCTTGTTCTCATTAAGCGCATAGATGCAGAACCAACAAAAACCAGAGCTGCTGATTACTGCCTGACACTCACTACAGACTATACTGCGATGATGTTTCAAGTATTAGCACACCAATAACCACGCCAGTTATTCAGATTCTCAATCCTTGCAGAAAAACACCACCCATCACTAACCCTACTAAGAGGGGTTTTGTTTTTAATTTCACAGTAGAATACACAAGTGTAATTACTGGAAGCTCGGAGATCTGTTTCCACGAGATCTTGGGAAGTCCATCTAACTCACTCAACTGTCTTAGCAATGAATATGCTCAGCAGCAGTAAGACTACATTTTTTTTGGAAAGGAAGGCAAATGATCTCAAAGAGCTTACATATGTTAGTGATTTTTGTGCAGCACCTTCACTTCAGAGATTGGTTATAGTTAGTAGTTAGGAGGTTTTTGCCTAGAGTATGGACCTTTTTTTTTTTCCCCCTACATACCAGCAAGACTTGGTATGCATGAATTACAGGACACTGGCATGGACCTACCTCACTATTTAGAATTACAGAATAGTTTGGGTTGGAAGGGACCTTGAAAGGTCATCTAGTCCAACTCCCCCTGCAATGAGCAGGGATACCTTCAACTCGATCAGGTTGCTCAGAGCCCTGTCCAACCTGGCCTTGAATGTTTCCAGTGATGGGGCATCTACCACCTCTCTGGGAAACCTGTGGCAGTGTTTCACCACTGTCATCATAAAAAATTTCTTCCTTCTATCTAGTCTGAAACTACTCTCTTTTAGTTGAAAACCATTACCCCTTGTCCTATTGCAACAGGCCTTACTAAAAAGCCTGTCCCCATCTTTCTTATAAGCTCCCTTTAAGTAATGAAAGGCTGCTCTAAGGTCACCCCGGAGCCTTCTCTTCTCCAGGCTGAACAACCCCAACTCTCTCAGCCTGTCTTCATAGGAGAGGTGCTCCAGCCCTCAGATCATCTTCATGGCCCTCCTCTGGACTTGCTCTAAGAGGTCCATGTCTTTCCCGTGCTGAGGCCTCCAGAGCTGAAGGCAGTACTGCAGGGGGGGTCTCACCAGAGTGGAGCAGAGGGGCAGAATCTCCTCCCTTGACCTGCTGGCCACGCTTCTTGTTATGCAGCCCAGGATACGATCCACTTTCTGGGCTGCAAGCACGTATTGTTGGCTCATGCCCAACTTTTCATCTGCCAGTACCCCCAAGTCCTTCTCCGCAGGGCTGCTCTCGATCACATCATCCCCCAGCCTGTATTGATACCTGGGGTTGCCCCAAGCCATGTGCAAGACCTTGCACTTGGTCTTGTTGAACTTCATGAGGTTCACATGGGCCCATTTCTCAAGCTTGTCCAGGTCCCTCTGAATGGCATCCCATCCCTCAGTTTGGTGTCATCTGCAAACTTGCTGAGGGTGCGCTCGATCCCACTGTCTATGTCACTGATGAGGATATTAAACAGTGCTGGTCCCAACAGTGACCACTCGTCGTCACTGATCTCCATCCGGACATTGAGCCATTGACCACTACATGGTCATTTAATTTCCATTTAATTGAAATACTTTAATGGACACTAGCACCGACTTACCTTAGGGTTTCCACATTGATCACATTTTGCATATTTGGCTGGAAAAGAGAGAGAGAGAGAGAGAGAGAGCTGATTTCAGGAATGGTATTTTTACGTGAAAAAAATCATGATGAGACAAAACTTGGTGCTTTTCTAGCCAGAGAGAGACTCTTTTTGAAATGAAAATACAGTACCTCAAAGAAGAGTGCAAAGGTAAAGATACTTTGACTTTTTCAGTGCCTCTAAGCTAAAGCCAAACATAGAAAATTTTAATCCCCAAGTCAAGTGTAAAAGAGGAGGACATCTGCTTGAAATGCATACAAAATTTCAATTTCAAATACTAGTGACAGTTACAATTTAGTTTGTAAAGCATTTTGATCTTAAAAGAATGCTTGTAGTGGATCAGTGACCTACTTCTTTTATCCTTGTTTTCTTTACTAATCAACATAATTTGAATCACGTTACCTACTAACAAAATTTCCCAATAATTCCACCTCTTTCTAAAGACCACTATAGAAACTACAACTATATAAACAAGGAAAATAAATAGTGGCAATTTATGTCAAATGTGATATCAGCAACTTTCCATGCATTTATGCCAATAAATGGAACTTACGTTTTAAAGATGGATCAAAGCTTTTATTTGGATTTCTTAACTTCTTTTTTTGTTTATTCTTTGACAGAAGCTCAGAATTTCCATCTTCCTCCTCCTCCAGAGCACGTTTCCCTCGCACACCTTTTTCAGTCCCACTGGCTCCATTCTCCTTGCATCTCTCCTTTGGCCTGAAACAGTGAATATCATCGTAAATTGGCTGAAGGGAAGAAGTAGGTGTTCCCTGGCCACTATTCTGGTTTACAGAAATCTGGGTAAACTGTAAACCTTTCTATCATGGCTAAAGTACAAGGAGATGTCACTGCCCTTAGGAGTGGAATAGAAAAACCTTTTTTGTTAACATTGGCTGTTAATAACAGACACACTGTCAGATATATCAGTTGGAAAGTCACTGAAAGTTGACCAGTTAAATTAGTTAGGCACCCGTTAACCTGTTATACCCAGTTTTTACTTAAGTATTTACTTAAGTATTAATCTTGACACACTCGTTCACTTTTTCAGCCCAATTTTCACAACAGAAAGGGAATAAGCTATTTGAAAAGCTTGTCCATACAACACAAGTAGTATTTATAGAATACAATTTAGTTCCCATCTTTGCTACCCTGGCAGTCCAGCAACTTTTGTGTTACATATAACAAGAAAGTATTGTCAGGTAGCAAGTTTGTTGCACATTGGGTTCTCATTCTGAGTTGCAGTGGAATTCGTGGTTTTTACTTTCCAGAGAGAGAAATCTGAGGAGGATCTAAAGGAGAAGATGCATACAACAAGCAACATCCCCATGAACAAAGTAATAATCAGGAAAAAAACAAACCAGAATAAAAATAATCCAAAGTCTTCACTGATTTTCAAATGAATGTTAAGCTCCTAGAACAGAACTGGATGGCTCTACACTGATAGTATGGGTGGGAAAGGCCTATGGGTACCTGTCCATGTTAGAATAGATAACTCACCCTGGCCTGATGTATGGCTGACAGATCCAGTGGAAAAAAGGCAACCCTTCTTTTGGCTTTTCTCCTTCTCTCTGATTAGCTATTTCTTCCTGCAGCATAGAGTTACAGTCAATTTTCCTGGAGTTCTCAGGAAATACTCTAAATAATATTTCAAACTCCAGGAAACCACAAATTGGAATTTAAACTAACAGTTACATATAGGCAAAAAACCTCTACCCAGACAGATGAACTGAAGCAGATTTGTAACTTCTAAATCAACTTCATCCCATATAAAGCTGTTCAGGCTTAAGGGGCTGCTACTGTAGCAAACTACCAATATAAAGGTTAGTAAGCCACAAAGTTCCAATGAAGTGACTAACAGACATCAACTGCATGACATACATCGTAAGCTCCCACGAAGTGTGGACAGTGTTGTTCTGGGAGATTAGGGTCCATCTTGGTACCTGGCATCGTAGTTTCAGCTCCCTGTTGACATCTACAATGCCCTCTAGAGTCTTCACTTTTGCTAATTCTTCACGCAGCTGCTGGTAAACTTGAAGCCTGAGGCAAATCCCAAACATCAAGTCATATTTATTCATACTGCTAGACTGAGGAGATAACTAAAAATGTCTTTACAAAAGCTTTTTATAGATTTTTCTTGCTGCATTTGCCTTTGGTAGAAGCTTACCTTCTTTCTTGTAAGTCCAGAGAAAGGCACACATACCTGCTCCTCTTTTCCAAATAAATACTTGGCACACAACCAAGGTACTTTGAGATAAGCTAATGTGAACATACAGTGCATCAGCTGCTCATCAGTAACTGCCCATGGCCATGCTTTTACTCGACAACAAATGCAAGACAGCTTGCCTCACAATAAACAAGGAGTTAGTTAACTCATGTTTGCCATAAAGTGCATGTGTGCGTACGGGCAACTACCACACAGTAGCTGATGTGCTGTGAGCTTACACCTTAGCTTATCTTGTGGTAACTTGTTCATTCCCTGTGCCCTGTTTCCCAGATATGCAGTGAAGGGTAAAGGTCTTGACCCACATTCTCTGCAGCCAGGGCCAGGAAAGAAAACCTTGCAGCATACTAATTCTGGCCAAACAAATCCTTGTCCAGAAAAGCCAGACACTTGCTAAGCATGATGAGCCTTGAAAACATTAAGAGTTCTCTGGAGATACTCACGTGTGATGCCAGAGCTTGAAGAGATGAGCCCTAACATAAGACAATGGACAAGGGTACTTCCGCACTATCTCCAGATACTCCTCTGCCATCTCCCACACCAATGGGTTTCGACCCTCAAACAAAGCTGGGTTATGAAGATTACCTTCTAGGGAATGAAAAGAAATACTCAAACTTTCATTTCAGGAATGAAACAGAAAACAAAACCTAGGCTTTGGAGCTGGATCAGCTCTGTTGTGATTCTATCAGATACATCACCCATGTACTCACAAAGAGGAACACAGGGCCCATAAAACTCTAGCCTGACCTCAGGATACTGTATTTCGCTATACAACTCTTAATTGAGCCAAATAGATCTAATTAAAGTACATTTTCCAGAAAGTCATCCAATCTTGACACAAAGACAGTGAAAAAAAACCTAATAAATAGAGAAATCACTGCTTTTGTTGCCCAGTGGTTAAATACTTCGACAATGGGTATCTTACCTTATGTCTGTATTCACATTTGTCTGACCTAAGTTTATAGATACTGCTTCTCACTATTCTTTTCTCTACTAGCTTCACAAGTCTTTTGTCCATCAGTATTTTCTAAAAATAAGATTCTACAACATCCCAGAAAAAATGTTTCATGGCTTTAACTGTGCAAGTGATTGGAAGTTTTTTCTGATGTCTATCCTAGCTCTTCCCATAAGAAGTTATGCCAATTCTTTCTTGTCCCAACCCAACATGAACCATCTGCAGGAATATTAATCAGCAGATGCACTTACTGCATCAAGATCCATCCAAAAAACGTTCCACTGATTAACAGATGTCACAAAAACATCCCAGGACAACAGGAGTCCCATATGCCTTTATCAAGTACTTAGATTTGAGCTGTCCACTCAATATTACTACAAGTCCAACATAACAATTCTTACAAATCTTAAGTGATTCCTGGTCCTGGTAAGAGATGGCCAGTATAAAAGGAGAGAGAATGGCCACTCAGTTTTCAATCAATACTGTCAACCAAGTCAGTCTGATGTAAGCTTTTAATAAATGTATATGGGGCTGCTAAGAGCGTAAGAAACAGTTTGTATTCTCATTATTATGAGTAAAGGTTCTTTTTCCTTACCTGCACTCATGACACCATGCACTCCTGTCTTACGGATACATTCTTCCACATCACTGAGACACTGGATGTTTCCATTTGCAAACACAGGAATGCTTACAGCTTTTCTGTATCAGTGAATAAAACAGATGCATAAAATTGAGAATTAGAGTCAACCCAGAAATTCTACTTCTGTCACACAAATTTGCTTGCTCTTCAGTGCCACTGCACACTCTGCTTAAAATCTACCTTCATAGCGTGTTAGCAGAAATCCACTAAGATTGTTACTGCTCACTTACCTGACAGCTTGAATGTGCTCCCAAGATGCCACGCCAGCAAGTGGTCCTTTCTGTTCTTTGGTACGGCCGTGCACAGTCAGCAGCTAGAACACAAAATTATGTGAACCACTGGAACAAATCCACTGACAAAAATTTCCTTTCACCCCATACACTTCATGGATGCCACTGAATTCCCACTGTTATTTCAACAGCGCAGGGACTTTGGTATTGCAGAAAGATATTAGCAGCTAACCTACCATGGCATGGTCTTGGGCTTCTTTCAGCTTGCTATTCCATGGCATGACAAGATCGTACCTTGGGAGAACCTACATATTTCCTATTGCATTGGCTCGCATTTGTGATTCACTTTGGAATTTGTGACATATTGATCTGGCTTGCTCCTCAGCAGAAGGCTTGAATACTGTCAGTACTGGCTCTAACTCTTCCCATTTAACTGGAGTTAAATCCCAGAAGGCTGCCTATTTCTTCACTAGTAGTGGTCATCTTTGATACTGCTTTTTTTTCTATAGCCCTGTGGATTTCATGCATTCACACTGCCTCCTGCAGCACTAAGTTAGACGGAGATGCTCAACCACAGTGAACGATGCCGCACTGTGCAGCAATTACAAGAGAGACTCTGAAATCATTATGTCTTCCATATCATAATATTGATCTGCTGTCTATGACTGCAAATACATACAATCTCTCTGCATGCTGTTCTCTCTGTCTGTAACACAATGTAGCCTATTTGTCTCCAGAGTACACCAAGATCTGGTCATCAGATGCTTTACAAAGAGGCACGTGTCCAATGAAACAGTACAGGGAACAGCTGCCTCCTTACCTGGCAGCCAGCTTTCTCCAGCATCTGTGCATACTTCACTGTCTTGTCAATTTCTGGGAAAACGCGGATTTTGCATGTGATGGGAACAGAGAGCTTCTCGTTAGCCAGTAAAACTGGGAAAGATTGAAAAGACAGGTAAGTGGGCTGCACAATGCTATGAAAAGTGCCTATTCTCCTCAAGATCTGATACTGGGTGTGGTATGGAAAAAGCCTGAAAAGTTAATGCTATGCAGTTCTCACAGCTTAAACAATCAGCAATGTTCTCTGCAATCCTCATTGCATAGGTTAATCAAGTAATAGCAAAACATGAAGCACAAAATCTACATTCTAGCAAGAAGGCATAAAATAGTCAGCATTTAATAGCCCTAGCATTTCCACTGCATCAACCCTTCACTTTCAAGGACTATCCCCCTCAAGTCTTAATCATTGATACAGGTTTACTGTCATCACAGGCTATTGTACTCCTCCTACTCTGCCAACAGCATGAACACTCACTTGTCCACCTTTCCTACAAGAGATGCTTTGCTTCTTTCCAAATTATCACCCAAATAATCATGACAAGTAGAGTCTTGTCCATGGCAAGCAGAGGATTATCAACTGAGGTGGGCTGTGGACCCAATTAAGTAGTAAATGTAGGTTACAGACTCGGGGTGAAATCTAGAACAACATGTTAAACTCCCATAGTCTTTACACAGTCCACAGAATTGGAAAACTACTAAAAAGACAGCTAATGAAGACAGCCAACAGGAAAACACTGAGCAATGGCACACCTGAAATTCTCTTCTCTTCCAGACCTTGGATGCATAATGTATGAAGTCACCTGCTGTCCAAATCCTAGGAGCTCTAATGATAGGTACTTCCTATCACTCTTTCAAAGGAGCAAGCAAGGTGTATACAGGTGCAAGCAGAAAATAGTAGTCCATCATTTTAAAGAAAGTTCGGGGAGAAGGAAGAAGAGGAAGCTTTGCCCACCTTTTATACAATAGCCTAATAAGACAACTCTCTTACTAGACAGCCTGGATTCTCACCCAACTGGATGACCTGGGCTCTCTTCTCACCTAGAGGCTGTTCTGATTTACATCTTTCACTCCCAAGAAAAGTGCCCTAATAACCACATTACATGCTGGGCAGGGAAGCACTGTCTTTCCAGGTTCTCAGCAGTGTCTTTGTGCCAAACATCATTCAAGATTCCCTGGACCACGGGGAATGCAAACAGAAGTACGGCTCTCACTTCATGGTTCAGACACTTGCTTTGAAGAGGGGTGAAGGCACATTCTCAGCTCTACACAACGACCAAAACCTTGCTTTTTACATCAGTTCCAAATGTATTCCTTAAAAAAATATGATACTGTTCAACACTGCTACCGATAGTCTGAAAACATCCTACACAAATTAGGAGAAGAGTACCGTAACTTGCTATGGTGTGGACAGGAGGAGTACATTGAGTTGATCAGAAAAGGGCAACTGTGGCTTCAAGCAGAAACACAACTCCTACCACCTGAGAGCTTCAAAGTGAAAAAGTAAGGCACTGGGAGTTCTGCTGTTTCTAGAGTTGGAGAGCCACTAAACCATCATTAGATTGGGACTTAATTGACTCACTTTCACCTAAAGTCTGTTTCAAGTACTGAAGTCTTCTAGCAGATCTAGTATGAGTTCGTAGTGGGATACCATCAAGCATTTTGAGGGTGCCACTGGAATACAGTAAGAAAGAGAAAAACCAAACACAAATGCAACCCTCCCCAAAGAAACATGCTGCACCTCCTTTTCCTCAAAATCCCTAAACCTGCTCTCAACGATGAGTTCATCCCACTCTCTCTCAAAGTGAATCCTCTCTACAGTGCGGCCTCTCTAAAGACTTACTCATTCTCTGAAGAAGATCCCACTCCTCTTGCAGAAATGCTCCGTAGTGACCTATAATAAAATAGCACATAGCAGACTTGTACAGAAGAGTAAGATTCCGAAGTATACAGCTTTTGTAAACGTTCACATGCAAAGGTCCAGACACTCATATGCCTCACTGGCAGAGAGTTGCTCTGTCCTGCCCAAACTGGAAGGGTTGGATCATTCTCTTCCCCATGTCACTCTATATTTAGAGGATAAACAATGAATCCCCACACCCTCCTTTCACTGCTACTCCCTAAGGCTGATATGTTGACACTGGCAGCTCAAAGCCCAACCTTCAGGGGTTTATACCAGGTGTTTAAAAATTCCCTTCAGGATAAAACCTGATCAGACTGAAAGATCCATTTGCCCTGTACACCACCAATCATTTCCTATTAGTCTTTGAAAGACATTTTAGAAGAGGAATGTGTAGTTACTGAACAAATCTTTCCTCAACATCCTAACTGATCCAAAGTTTTCAAACATTGGTTCTGGTTTTCAAACATGGCTATCTTTGCAATATCTTTAAGGGATTGAGCAGGTGTTATCCTCTTATATGCCAATGTGAATAAACTCTGTGCAAGTATCAAGGACACAGGAGACACTAAGTGCCTGCATGATATAATTTTAAGTGCAGTTTTGCAAAATGAGGTTGTTTGAGCAACTGAAATCAGAAAGAAAATTGAGCTCTTGCTAAAAATACTTTTTCTGAAGCATATTCTAGACACAAGAGCTGTCACTCAAGAGAAGCTGGAATTAATTATTAGTATATCTAATTTTTGCTTTAGGTACTACAAAGCATTACCTGTTAAAGTGGGTGTAACTAAGTCTGACTTCAGCAGTACTGCAGCCGTGCCCTTACTCCCAAGGCTTAGTTTGGTCCTCTTGATGTTTTACTGTCAACGTTCATTTCAAACATTCCATTGTTCTGTTTATCCAAGGTTCAGATTTGTACATACCTCTCTTTGCAATCATTTGGGGGCAACCCAAATTTAGGTCTATGGCATCGCAATAGTCCTGAGCCAACAATGCTGCTTGGACAAACACTTCAGGGTCATTGGCACAGAACTGAGAAAGACAAAGAAAAGTGAAATAATCAGGCAATAGCTTTCTTCAAGTACTGACAACACATTATGACATAGTTATGAAGCAACTACTTGCTACAGAAAACAGGTATAATATGCACAGTTAATAACAAACACCATTTCTCAAAAAAACACAATAAACAAAAACTGTGACACTTACCAGCTAAGGATTCTCAAATCTTTATTTAGATCAATTTGATTTGAGCCATTCAAATGACAAAATCAGAAAGATGAGCATTCAAGAGGCAAAGAAATACTTGTAGAATATTTTACAAGTAGTACCCAAGAATAAGAGGGAACAACTCTTAAAATCCCCTGTAAAACAAACAGCTATAGCATTTTAATACATAAAGGCGGGGCAGAAGAAAAGAGTTACCTCTGGTGCCTCTGGGTCTTGAGACAATTCAAACTTTGTAGATATCAATAAGCACCACTGCCTCTAAAATGAATTCACATTAGTGTGGAGTGTGAAACAGACACATTGGGCTGTTAGTCAAATGCTCAGTCTTAAATATAATTAATATTACATTTAAAGCAAAGTGCAAAAATCAATTTATTAAGAAAAATTAGGTTGATTTGAAGCTACTTTGTTGAAGAGGACAGAGCCAGACTATTCTTCTCATTTATGCTTTTAAACAGATTTTCTAAAATTTGTTATTAACAAACCAATACCATCACATCTTTAAATAATATGGATTTAAAACTCAAACACATGTGAGCAGAAGGCATTACTCAAACTCTACAGCACTACATAAATTATGGCTGACACCAACTAAAACCAGAAAAGGCATTTGATTTCTCCGAGATGACTGAAACAATGGAAAGCCTCCAACCAAGCCACATCAGCAAGGATTTTTACACAGTAAACAAAGCCTACAATGCAGGCTGGGCTCAGATGTACCTCTGCCTAATCTATCTCCAAGAGTCACAGAATCATAGAATCATAGAGTCATTACGGTTGGAAGAGACCTCAAGGATCATCAAGTCCAGCCTTCTATCCAACGCCACCACACCCACTAAACCATGTCTCGAAGGGCCACATCGAAACGTTTTTTGAACGCCTCCAGGGATGGTGGAGTCTCTGACCAAAACCCAAGCCTGTCCAGAAATACTGCAGAACTCAGTAAGGATTGCTGTACTAGGTCAATCCAAAGATTAATCTAGCTAGTTCTGTGCCTTATGTTCAACAGTGGCCAGTGGGAAGAAGGAAAATACAGCAAGCTCACAGTAACTGACACTCTTCAGGTAGGCTTGCCTAGAACACAAAGCTTACTGAGCTGAAGATCTGTATTCAAAAGACCTCTAGCTTTCTAAGACTATTTACATTTCTGCCACCTGTATTTTTCTGTGGCAGAAGAAACTACCTCCCATGGAAAAAGGAGAATATACAAAGCTGTACTGAGACAGACCGAAGGTCCACCTCAGCCTGCTCTGACAATGGTCAACAACAGATGTCTAGGGAACAGCAGAAGCTAGAAAGCATCTTCAAGGACTCTGGAAGCAGAAGTGGTGTTTCCTGCACCTAATGACCCTCAATAGAGTTTTCCTTCATCTGCTTTCTAAACTCCTGTAATCTTTCAGCATGCAGTACATCCCACAGTAATGAATCTTACAGTTTGTAACTATCACTACCCTTACTTAACACTCGTTTCCCATTCATCATCTTCAAGCCAGTCATACTTTCAGACTTCTCTCATCTCTCCCCGCAGTCAGGGGAGACATTTCTCTTCCAGGGTGAAAAGCCCTCATCCATTTAACTGCTCCAAATGTGGAAATCACACCATTGCTCTGCTCTTGCCGACTGTCTTTCCCTGCATTATTCTCCAGCTCTGCAGGTCCCTCCTCCTCTTTGGGATGGACTGGAGGGAAGTACCTGAACCTCACACAGTACTCAAGAAGCAGAAGCAACACAAGCTTTGAAGTGTGTCTTATCTTCCTTGCATCCTTTTTCTATAGCTAAGCACTGAGCTCATAGTTTCAGAGAACTACTCAAAGAACTCACCCTGCCTGCCTGGTATCAGATCTGGAACAACCCTTGACTCTAGAAGACCAGCTGCAATCTATCTCTAAGGATGAAGTGTAGAGGACTGAAACTCTGTGAGAAGTCTAGTGTTCCAGGCCTCCGCACTTAAGGCACCAAATCCTCTTTGCTAGACAAGGGTTAAACAGGAAAAACATTTATCTTCACGAGCTAAGTACTGTTAGGAGTATTTAGGTGAAGAAAATGAGATTCCTGTCATCCTATATAACCACTTTAAAACCCGGGTGAGACTGACGAGCTTGAACTCATGCACATTCAGAAAGCGTTTGGATTTGTTAACCCAAACGGGGTGGACTACAAAGGCGAGGGTGCATTCGGCAAGGCGGACTTGCTTTCGTAGCGTCACCCAAGAGCGCACCGCAAGGTGAACCCCTGGGAAGCTCT